TAGTGTGATAGTGTACCTAGTGCAGTACAGTATCAGAGTCTACCTAGAATGATATAGTGTACCTAGTGTAATACAGTATCATAGTCTACCTAGCGTGATAGTGTACCGTGTGCGGTACAGTATCATAGTGTACCTAGTGTGATAGTGTACCTAGTGTGGTACAGTATTATAGTCTACCTAGTGTGGTAGTGTACCTAGTGCGGTACAGTATTATAGTATACCTAGTGGATAGTATGGATTTTGGAAACGGAAGAGCTTCAATTAAATAAGACTTATCTAGTACTTACTGACTGAAGTCAGAACTTTTTTTGATGTTTTGACACCATAAAAATGTAATTTTCAAGAGGTAACATTGTATGAGTCCAATGTTTATACAGAATTTAAGTGACCCTTGATATTTCATCATATCAATAAATTCCAACTCTTGCTTAATTCTTATCAAGATAATGGCAAGTTTATGGAATTATCTTTCCAAGAATTTGGCAAGAAATGTTCTTGCCAAGGCTTTTCCAAGATCTTGTAAGATCTTCCATTATCTTACAAGATCTTGCTAAGATGTTCAACCTGGTTAATTAATCATAATCCATTAATAACAGGTACCTGGTTGTCATGGGAGACAGCAAGGGATCTATCTTCATCGTCCTCATCGTTATCCTCGTCTTCCTCATCTGGCAGGTAAGGACACCAGAATATTCTGTGGAACTCGGAGACTGGCTGTTCTGATCGTTTGACATGTAGTTTGACAGTGTATCTATGAAGTGTGTTGTTAAGTATACTGCTGTAAAAAGCTGCTATACTATGTGAAAGTAAACTTCTTTGCGAGTGTAGTCCCATGAAACTTAAAGCATTCCTTCTCTACAAGGAATGCTTTAATTCACCATTTTTAGGCCATAATGRTATGATTTTTTGTCCCAGGACAGCAAATCATAAAGAGAAGCAAATTCTACATGTTTAACAAAATATCAGTGCAACAAAATTGTCTGTTTAATACTCAAATTGTCTGTTCAATACTTGGAACTCATAATTAAGTATACTTGTTAAGGATACTCTACTTTAGTATCTTCCTCTGTGATATTCCACACGTACACATTACCACCCTCATCAACACAAGCAAGGGTATTAGAATCTTTGTGGGAAAACGCCAAATCTGTAACGAGACCTACGAAGCCTTTGATGAGAGCTCGACTTGCTGTCTGTGGATTGAGTAGTCTTACAACATAACCAGTACGACCTGGAAAATCAAAACAAAGGTGTGAAATTGTTGACGTTTCATAAGTTGTTTATAACGATTGCCTGTGGCTCAAGATTGTAATTCCCATGCAAAATGGCCGATCATGTTGTAATCTACACTAAAACCATACCTTTTAATGTGTATGCAATGAACTGTCCACCTGTTGCAATCAGGTTTCCTTTGTAGTACTTGTGCTCCCAGTCATACTTTACCATTTGATTGAATTTTATCTTAAAGTAAATAATAATGAAAGATATAAATGTATGAAGTTATCCTGCTTTAGCAGCATAATGAGTATATTAGGATTGTTTCATTTGATACAAGATATGAATGAAAGATAGTTAGTTGAAAATATAACTATTTTGTACAGTATACCTTATGATTACCGAAGTGAATTGAAAACAATAGAAAACAAAGGAAAGGAAACAAGCCCTCAGGGCCCTTAAGGAGTTAAGATGGCAAATATTTAGGGATTCCAGTCACTTGAATTACATAATTAAAAAAAAAAAAAAAAGAAACTGGACAAGTAATGTGTGACCTCTCACGAGAAAACGTGTCTTAACGCTTTAGCGTTAAACGGCCGTTTTTAACGGTCATTAACGCTTTTTCAAGTGCTGCTAACGCTTTGGCAAAGCGTTATAACGCTTTGATCTTAACGGCTAACGCTTTGGCAAAACGTTATAACGCTTTGCTCTTAAGAGCTAACGCTTTGGCAAAACATTATAACGCTTTGGTCTTAACGTTTAACGCTGTGGCAAAACGTTATAACGCTTTTCTCTTAAAGTTTAACGCTTTGGCAAAACGTTATAACGGTTTGGTCTTAATGGCTAACGCTTTAGCAAAACGTTATAACGCTTTGCTCTTAACGTTTAACGCTTGGCAAAACGTTATAACGCTTTGGTCTTAACGGCTAACGTTTTCGGGAAACGTTATAACGCTTTGCCCAAAACGTTTAACGCTTTGCCAAAGCGTTTTAACGTTTAAATAAACCGTTTAACGGCCATTAACGGAAAACCGTTATAACGCTTTTAAGCGTTAAGACACGTTTTCTCGTGAGAGGTCACATGTGTGTTTTCTATTTGTGCTCATACCTTATTGCTAGCTGTAGATGAAGTACTAGTGTTCTGTCTGGTAAAAATTTCTACTTCATTTCCATACACTGAGGAACCACATTCGTTGTTAATACCTAATTGTCTGTAGTCAAAGGAACAAATAATTATACATGATGTATATGAATAAATCAACTGTAGAAACAACAGGAATCAGGGGAGGAGTGGCTAGAGTGAGAAATGTAGAAAATAAGTAAGGAATGGAAAGAAAGAGGATATATTGAGCAAAGGAGGAATGAAGGGAAGGAGGAGGGAGGAAAGAAAGAGTGAAAAGCTGAATAAGGGAAGGAGTGAGTGATGGAGGAAAATGAGAGAAACACAGATGGAGGGCTGGGCAAGGGGAGGGAAGAAAATGAAAAAGGGGGGAGAGAAAGAGGAAGAGAGGGTGCAAAATATGTGGTAAAGTTGAAAAGATGATGAGCAAGGATTACAGAAATATTGATTACTACACACAGAGATGAGACCACTGGATTCCAGCATTGGTATATGATATAATAATGCTTAACACTCACATTGATTGGCTGACAGGGTGAAGAGAGATCCTTGGTGTAGAGCCATCTAAATAACCAGGTATCTGACCAAGTGACAAAGACATATCTGATTCAACCCTTGACTGGAAGTAAAGAAAAATGAAGAACTTCATATCTTGATTGACTGCTTGACTGCTCTTTGACTGACCAATTGTTTACTACCAGACTGATTGAGTGACTAACTGATGGACAGCCAGTTTGAGTGACAGACTGATGGACTGACTGACAGTCTGCTTACTGACTGCCAGACTGACTGACATATATTATTCACTGACTGACTGACTGACTGAAATGCTACAGCCATAAAGACACCTGAAGACCTACATACCTGCATTGCTGAAGTAGTTGAGCTTGTTAGAGATGCTGATTGCCTGGAATAACAAAAGCAAAACTATTTTATTGATGTCATGCTTTTTAAGGTCTTGYAATGGCTACAGCTTTTTTACATCATCTTATGGCCCAAACTACTCTATACAAGTATACACTATGTGAAGGCACTTCATTTTAATAGTGTCAGGTTTCATCATTCATTTATACAATGACAGAAGACTTATGATACATTGTTTCTGACATTTTTCTTCCATTCTTCCAATGTCTGACACATCACTTAATACTTTCCATCCTTTATGATGCATAACTTATCATTTTGTCAAAAGAATTATTAACAATATTAGAAACTGCATAATTACATAATTTAAATAAACATAAATCACAGGATGAAGGATGTATTTTACCCAGTTGGTTCTTCTTCATCTTTTGTCATTTTCTGACCACTAGAAATGTTTGGTTCACTTCCTCCTAAAAGAAAAGCATATCAAGATTTAAAGACTTGCATTCATGTAGAAAAGAAGGTTTTACTTCCTGGATATATAAAGCATCCTGAAGTGAAAGTATCAAAGTTTCAAGCCAACCCTTTGACTGCACAGTAGTGACATTGTCTATGGTATTCAAACCCAATTACCAGGAAATCCAATGATCTTAACTCAAATCCAAACACCTTACCTGAGTTGTATTTAGCAACACTCTAAGATATCTACATACATTCTTTAAGTAATTTATTCAGAGATTGTCTGTGTCACAGTTGGGGGTCAAAATTCTATGACATCACTTGTGCTAAGCACAATTTGTTTTGCTGGTTTTACTTTCTATAAAAAATTGAAGCTTATCATTTTGTCTAGGACTTAACTTGTTTGAAGTTTCAGAATCAATGGTATTTTAGACAGAACCTTAACAGAGATTAGCTCCACTCTAAGGCACAGAGGAAGAGACTTCCGTTTGGAAAACAAGCTTATTTTCTAAAATTAATCAAGCTTGTTATGAAAGACAGAATCTGAAAATGTTTAAGCTTACTTAATCTTAAGATGACAAAAGTGAAGATGAATATATAGTTAATGGCTACTTTAACGCTTTCGTTGCAAAAAGTTAAGCAAGTAACTTAATTTTGATGAGACATTTTTCCATTAAGTTTACATGTAATTTGTAATAACTTAAGCTTAATTCAAAGTGAAAGTGAAAATTTTCATATTTTCATACTGTGACACGACGGATATGTCCAAAATAAAAATCAAATCTTAAAATKATCCCTAAAACAAAATCATAAGACATAAAATCGCACTGAATTCTGTAGAGTCCCTTCCATAATTCATACCCCAAAGAAGAAAGCTTAAGAAATATTAAATTGTCAAAGAAATTCACGTGCGCGACGTAAGCAGCGCGCATTCCACTGACCTGACGAAGCCTCGCTTTTTCCACCAATATTTAACATATCCAACAAATATTTGGTCGCCATCCCTGTCGTATTTTCCATACTCTAGTGCGCAAATCCGTCTACCATTATTCTCGAAGGAAAAGTCAAATAAAGAAAAAGAATTGAAAGTGGATTCTTGGAAGACTTGCACAAAATCAAAGATGGCCGCCTAATGCTCTAGTACGCATGACTAAAGGAAACCTCTGACCAAATCCCGTAAGGCTACCCGCGGACCCGTAAATGCCCCGTTTTTGCTGCGTTTTTAGGGCAATTTTCAAAAATATAGCAGATATTGTAAAAAAGATCAATCATTATGGTTATGCAAAATTTACTAATGAAAAGAGATGAATATTGAACAACAATAAATTTTGCTCATTATTTTWTTTGAAGGGGGGATGGGGTGGGGTGGGGTTGGGGACTTTCACATTAGTCAGGGTATATGTTTCTTTTGTGGGGAGGGAATTCCAATTACTCCCAATATTACACAGACACATGAAAAATGGAATGTGCCATATTTAAGGCATTGCCTTGCCAAAAATGTGGTCATTAAATAGAATGAATATTGAAAAAAACAAATGGATTGAATAAAAGACGTCTGTTTAATTCATTCATCCATTCATTTATTCAATAACTCAAAATTTAAAATCAACTCAAAAATTATTTCAATATATTTTAATTGACACTATTCTACACCAGTACATTTATAAAATTCCTTTATTTTCAGTCAAAAAAATCATCAATATCAACTCTTGGATCAAGCAATGATTCTCCAAATTCACTTAAATCAGTTTCATTCAAAATCAAATTCTCAAAGGTCTCTTCTAGATCAGTTTCTCCAATCAAAACTGCTCCAACCATCCTTCCACTTTGTAGCACAACTTTTATATACTCTACACCCTTGGTACATCTTAGTAGCAACTGGAAATCATTGCCAAGTTCTTGTGCATTATATTTACCAAGTAACGCTACTTTGAAACCAAAAAACTTTGTCATGTGAGCAAACAATTCAAAGCAAAAATCCAATGAAATGTCTTCACCTTCAAGGTGAGAGTTCATGCATTGTGCTGCAAATGCTCCCATAGGACGAGCTTGACTCCACAGTCGCATTTGAAACCAGCATTTTGCAGGTTCCCATGATGGAGTGCAGACATCTCCTGCTGCATAAACATCTTGAATATTAGACCTCATGTTCTCGTCAACTTTAATACCACCTTCTGCAGCCAATGCAAAGTCTGCATTAGGGTGGAATGGTGCTGTGTTTGGCATCACACCAGTGGCAGACACTACAAAGTCACAGCCATAAACTTCACMATTTGACAATTTAACATACACAGGCCACTGACGAGATGAACTGTTTGTTTGTTTTGATTTTGGGAAAAATGATTCACTTTGATTCAGGTTTTTGAATTCCTCAGGTGTGAGCAGCTTGTCAACTTCACACTTGTATCTAATGAACACATGTCTACCAGAGTCTGACGTTGATTGTAAAGATACATTTGAGCTCCAATCKGGACCAAGGGCTCCACCACAAAGCTTTTCTTTTATTGATGAACCTGAGAGTGAAACATTGATTAACAATTGACTAAAACAGCAGTTGAATAAAATCAAAATACTATAACAGACATAATTATTACTGGTAATGTATAATCATGCCACAAGTGTGCAATGATAGATATTTGTGAGCTATAATTGTCTGTAAAGTAACAGAGAAGATTTCTATCATTGCACACTCAAGAAGATGCCCCCAAATAGGCTTCACACTCATCAGATAACAGCCACATTGGCTGGCATGATTAACAAAAGTTCAAGTGAACTACGAGTCAATAGTCCATTCTCAACAAAACTATAGGACAAATTAGAAAAAAGAACATAAAGAACAATTTTTCATGACAATTTTTTGACTATTGTCGCTTCATTCAATGGGACTTGGTATAACATGAATCTATGATACCGGTATTTCAGTAGCCAATAAGAATGCTGGATTTTAATAGCCCATAGTTTGGTGGATACTTATTTCTATATAATAAACTAAGCTTAACCAATTAATGTTTTCTATTTTCTCAATTATAATAAATATTGATAAAAGTCAAAATTACAACCTTCTTGGAGAGAGGGGAACTTTATTTCACTTTCCACTATCCCGTATTTCATTCTTTTAACTAATGTTTCCTTTGGTGAGTGGTCCTTGTTCTCACCAAGATGTGGAAGCAAGAATGTTGCTGCTCCTTTGTCAAAGAAATTATTCCCAATAGCATCATCTTTGATGGCCCAAAGGACTTCACATCCACCTAACTCAAACCTGTTAAAAAATCAACCACTCTAAGTGAGAAAGCTTGGAATGGAGTGATTTTACATCAAGATGTGCRCATTGGACAGGGTTGTCATAAAAGCCAGAAGTCCAATGTCTATTTTGACCTTTGGGCTGCCAAATTACAGTTGTAATGTAAAAACACATTACAAGAAAAAGTTTATGGCAAACAGCTATAGAGAATGGAAACACTATAAAGTAAGGTGTAAATTGCAGACTTACACTAGTTCAAGTGCAATTCCTCCATTTCCAATGACTGCTACTCTTCTTGCATTACACAATCTTTTCCTCAGTTCATTGACACTACTAGTATCCCGAATTCCAATCACATGTGGATTGTTGGAGTCAATTAATTTTGGTACACCACCRGTACAGATGCATAATTTTTCATAGAAATATACTTGATTGTCATGTGTAGTAACATAGTGGTCTGAAAACATTAGAAGAATGTAAGAATAAATGAATTAGATGACTAAAAGATTTAATGAATAGATGGACAAATAGAAGGATGGTGAAATGAATAACAAAAAAAAAAAAACACTAAAAAATGAAAACAAAAAATGGCTGGAAATAGCTCTCTACAAATTGGACAAATCATCCATAAATGACTATAAACACTAGTAATCACAAACCTTTAGCATTAAAACCCTTCACCAGAGCCTTTACAACTTTGACATTGTTCATTTCTTGGCTGAAAGAGTCAATATCTTTCTGTTCAACTTCAAATTCCTCCAAACTTCTGCCATATTGTGTTAGATTGACAACCGCTTTTACCAAATCGGTTGCAGTTATTAGAGTAACTTTCTTGTGAGGGCACAGGAGATTTAGTTGTTCTACGCAGGAAACTCCAGCAATTCCACCTCCAACAACTAGAAAAGCACTTTTTTCCGACATTTTTGCCGCACTAAAACTCTCTGAGTCATGCAATACATAAAGACGAAAGGGACTGGGCTCTAGTGGTGCAAGTGGTGCAATCAAATTAAAAATTCAACACTAAAAAAACTTCATTGTTGTTGTGAAAAAAAATTCAAAATATTATAAACTTTTTCTTATTCCTTAGAGAGAAAAAAGGCACTCAAAGCATATCATATAATTACAAAACATTGGATTTTTTAAATCCGGMCGCGCAGAGAATTATGGGTGTTTTGTCCAGCGGTGTTGCTCAATAGAAATATTTGTTTTGAATAGAAAAGAGTGAAATTGTCAAAGTTTTGCACTCTATTTTATCTTGAGGATCGTCGTATTTTCTAAGACAATCGCAGTAATGTCCGATTCAGAGTACAGTAGTGATGATGATGAAGATTATGTACCAGGTACTGTATATTTCAATGCAAAAATAAGCAAAAACAATAATGGAAAGCGCACGTGAGGCAAAAATAAATTGGATTTCATTGTTTGTCTAGAATGTGATAGTGCAAGTGAAGAAGAAGTCGATCCTGAAGAGAAATCTTCCAGTAAACAGAAATCCACCAAAAAAGCACCCCCAAAAAGGTAAACTTACATGGTGAATTTCGCAGAATAAGATTTTTTAATATTTAAATCAGTAGTATAGAAATTTATTCAGTAAAAAAACAAGTCTTGATCAAATTAATTGTAGTGAATGTTACAGTGGACATACTGAATTAAACTTTATTAATTAATAGAAAACGAAAGGGAGGAATAAAGCTTGATGATAATGACAATGATGATGATGATGACCAGAGTGATGACGAAGACCTTGATGAACAAGAAAGAATAGAAAAAGAAAAGAAAAAGCAAGAGAAAGATGAGCAAGCAAAGAAGGCTCACATGGAAGACTTGTGGTCAGCTTTTAAAAGTGACACAGCACATGTTAGAGCTAAACCAACTCCATCGACGAGTACTAAGGTGATTTAATACACATTGGATAATTAAGAAGTTCCTGATGATGAAATTAAAAATTTAGATGTGACTGATACAGTAAAGGCCGTGTCACACTGGCGTTTTTTTCGTGCAACTTGTGTCGCKCAAAAAAATGTTGAAGTTGCATGATGCCATGTCACACTAGCAAAATTCCGTTGCAACTTAGCTCGCACAAAAAAATGTTCAAGTTGCACGCGTAAATTGAAAATGTACGATCATCTCACTTTCTGTCTCGTTTTCTTCTTCAAAATTATCGCTTTCGCCAAAGATGGCGTCGGGCATCTTTGCTGATTATTACAACAAGTGACAACAGGACAGATTCTCGCTTTATTATGGGTTCGTGCGCCTAATTGAAAAATTTGGAAGTTGCAAGAGACCATGTCACACACGCGTTTTTCCGAAAAATGTTGAAAAAAGTAGAAGCCAGTTCTACTTTTCTCTCAACAAAAAAATGAAATGTTCAAGTTRCATGAGGGGGTGTCACACGTAAAAAAACGCTCGTGCAACTTCAACATTTTTTTGCGCGACACAAGTTGCACGAAAAAAACGCCAGTGTGACACGGCCTTAATTTCTTCTGGAGAGAATACTTACTATAAGCATATTTAACTGGACCATATTTTGCTGCCATCATATAATGTAAGGAAGACTATGGTTTAAAAAGGAAATTCCAAACAACTTTGAGCCTAAAAATAGCAATTGAAACTTTGAGCAAATTTGTAATTAAAACATCAACAGAATATCATCACTTTTAAGGATAAACATAGGTAAGGTATAAAAAAAGATTTTTTTGAGCAGGTTTACAGAAAATTGGTAGAATCAAAGACATGAGACAAAGAACAGTGTTTAAATACAAGATTTTGCTTCATTTCATTGCAGGCTGTACCTTCTAAAGCAGAAAGCACCAGTGCACTGCAACCTAAAGTATGTCTTCAGCAATGTGTATCAGCAGTGATGTCTATTGTTTTATCCATTTATTCATTCCTTCATTTTATTCATCCATTTACTATCAATTCATTACTCCACTCATTCATTTGTCTGTCCATCCATCCATTCATTTATAATTTTTCGTGGTCAACAAGGGGGGCAAGTCAGTATCTTACAAATACATGTATCAGTATTTTATGAACCACTGTGGTATCAGGGTGCACAGATGTGTCCAAATAACAGTCTCTGATATCTTAACTATCTTATTTCATTCTTGGACTTATTCTAGGATACAAAGTCCTTGACATCGTCATCAAAACCTTTAACAAAAAAAGTCAGCATCACCAAGACATTTGACTTTGCTGGAGAGGCTGTGACGTAAGTAGGCTGGAATTTCCACAATTTAGAAACATTCACCAGTGAATAGGTCTTTAGCAAATGATGTTTAACTCAACCAATCTCTATTCTGTTTTTCCTCTTTTACAGTGCGTCCGTCAGAACGGGGGCCACTTAAAAAAAGCGAGCCAATCACGTTTACGTATGAAAACAATAACATTCCAAATTCAGGTGTCTGAGCTAATCATATGACAGCAAAAAACAGACTGATGATAGAATCGATAACAGTATTGACCAATCAAATTGCAGCGTTCCCACGGTAATTTCAAACGTCAGCTGAATGCGGCAATATGATTGGTTAGTGCTCCACTTTCTCTAGGTGGCCCTGGTTTCTGTAACCACACTGTAAAGATATATTATAGTTTCCATATCAAGAACAATATTCTTCTTAGCTCTTTAGCTTGTGCTGCATCTTTCACCAAGTATTACATAGTGTATATGTAACCTCTTATCAGGGTAACCAAGACAGTTGATGCAGATTCTAATGAAGCAAAGATGGCAAAGAAACAAGAATCTGAA